AATTTCCAGCAAAAAATATGTACAAAAAGTGGCAACAAGCAAACCACTTTTAGAATCCATAAAAACAGCTGCAAATTTTTAATTTCAAAGATACTGGTTTTTATCTCTCAGAACGAACAAAGATGCACTAAAAATATCCACTAAATGCATTTTGGCGACTTAACCAACGTTCAAATTTCTTTTGGTAGTTTATCAAGGTGCGGCCAAGTCAACAGGATAATGTTCAAACAAATTACTATACCAGTGTACACATGTATACACATATGGTATATAGTATGGTAATGTATGTATCTATAAACACATAGATATATATCTAAATGCAATGCTCAACTGAATAAAATTTTATGCGCGTGCATGCGCAGACAGTAAAACGTTTAACGACAGCTGCAGCTGGAAATTATGTATCTGAATGAGGCCATTATTTGGAAACTGTAAATATCACCTGGTTTGAACTTGGCTTTGCATTGTGTTCTCAGATACAAAAACTAAAATTTCAATTTATCTATGAAACAATTTTTGAAAATACTCTAAAATGTTGTCCATTTCATGTTGAAAAACCTTTTTCGATTTTAAGTGAATCAGAATTTAGGCAACTTAATTCTCAAGAAGTTTCGACACTCATAAAAAATGAATGGAATAAAAGCAAAACTAATACAAAAGTCCGCTGTGATTCATGATTTGTTTTATGTGGAAGTTATATCAGAAACTGCAGTGATGTATAACTTTTAAGTGCTTACGTATATGAAATAATCTAATCTTCAAGGGCTAGACTAAAAGCAATACTATATATATATGTCTTACCAGGAAAGTTCTGTATGTCATTGAGCAGTCATTAGACACTTGTACAGTAAATTAAATTAAATTGTTTAAATAAATAAATTTTTTATTGGTTAGTTATTTCATTAGATTAACCTTCGTATGAGATCACATTAAGAACACACCTTTGTATATTTAATTAAGAATGAAGAAATTAGTATGCAGTACAAAATTCTGTATTATTAAATTGTATGAGTATCTTTATTCTTCACAATGCTTAATATTATATCTTTAATAGAATTACCAAAGTGTTTCATTAAAACCTTGAAAGCAAAGATGTTTAACAACACCGATATTTAATATTGAAAGGTTTTGTAAAATTAATTAGTTATAATAGTTAATAATGATAAGAAAAATTTATACAAATAGTATCTTAAAAGCTTCAAAACAAGAAAAGAAGTTATGCGAAAAAAAACATTTTATTATGACCTAATTAATTGTATTTATTAATATATATAATCTTATAACTTAGTAAATCTGCTTGGTAAGTGTTACTGGCGACATGTCTTCCGATTTTGTCTAAGTCGTAGTAAGGAATCGTTTTCACGCTTGAAGAAAAAAATTTAGATACATTTTTTTTAAATCTGCTGGATCATGAGAGGTTTATACTCTGTTAACATAATGTTCGCAACACCAGAATGTTGGACATTTGCTTACATTATCAAGAATCTATTTAATGTATTAAATATTGCTATCAATACTGCTAACAACTATTACTATTGCCTAGAGGCATGTTATGCAGGTAGTTATGGTCACATCAAATGTAAAACTGTTGTTGATTTCATTGTATATATTAAAAAACTTCACATAAAAGAAAGACAGAAAGTTCAATTCAAATTTGGTGATAATGACGTGACTTATTGTGCCTTGTAATATTGGTGAAAACAATGTTGATCAGTTATAAATACCAGATCTTTTGCATATTAGAAGAAAACAAATATATTTTAAATTGAGATACAAAAGAAACATACCAAAATAGTATTTAAAGTACAAAATTGTCAATTGAGATATGACTATTTGTATAACATAACCATTCATTATATAACGTCTGTCATGAGATACATTAAACAATTCTCAATTCTTCCAGTAAATGTTAATACTGCTTGTATAAGTGCTTTTAATAATGCTTATCATATCACAGAACCAAACTATTGTGGCAGAAAACAAGGGTTACTATGATATTTTTGTTTTTAGTAAGGACCACCAAGTTTAAGAATAATAAACTGTATGATTATTTTAATATGCTTTATGCATCTTTGGTATAATGTATAATGAATTGTATAAACGCATAGATGCATTATATAGGCTGTAAAATAGGTATATAATTACTTGAAATTTTTTGTGCTTATTTATAATAAATGAGGTCTCAATAGACAAACTAGAAGTTATGTATCTGATAAAGAATATCACAGAACTGAACTAATGCTGCAGCAAACGATAATATACAAAAATTATTGTTATTGAATGCTTGGATCGACTGCTTTTTAAACAATTGAATTAAAAATATTAAATTAAATTAAATGAATTTAAAAAAAATATTAAGAAAAATGCTTACTGCTTTTAAAGAAGAGTTAAGAAGTAAATTTTTTTGCTGTTGTTCCTAGGTTCCAGTTCCACTCCAAATATTATTTGAACTACCTAACACCATATCTATTTATTGAGTTTAAATACGTTGCTTTAAATAACCTACTTATTTAATAACGTACCGTAAATGTCCATAATAATTTATTTAAACTACAAAAACGCTTTGGAACAATTATCAATTATTATTAATGATAATTCAAATTCATATACAATAGAATAGAACAACTACGATTACACTACACTAGTTATTTCCTAAAAATAAATCGATATTTATATTTCTATAATAGTCTATTGTTAATTTATTTTTGTATCTATGAGTATATATGTAGCTTACGTCAGTATATATTATCAACATTTTCATATGTGTAGATAGCATTTAAGCCTTGCCCTCGAGTGTTCGTACGATGTAAGCAATCAATCGAAATTTGACATCACTTAAAATGCTTAATGTTCCACTTTATTATCATTGTTTATTTAATGATTTATTGTACAATTGTTGGTAATTATAGTAAACATTTATATAATTGTTAAATACAATAAACGTTGTGTGACCTAATTTAGTTTACATTGTAAAATTAGTTAATTGTAGGAAAGTTACATGTTATGGAATTAAACTTATCTATAATAATAATAAAAAAAATTTATAATTTTAATTAATTTTTTTTTTGTACTTTATATTGTATATATTCTAGTTGTACATTATTATTTTTGGCTGTGATCAATTATAATAAAACTCATATTTATATATAACCAAAACGTTTTATGTGGTTTGGTTTAGTGATTTACGACTTGGTGTAAAACAACATTTATGGTATAGTAAAATATTATTAGCAAAAACCTTCAAAACATGTAGAATAGCATTGAAAAAAATGATTACAAATATATTTATAGAATACAGGTTATGCAACTTAATCTCTATTTAGAAATAATTGATAATATATATTTGGTTGCATATACTCGAATATAAACATATTTATTTGAATCATTGATTAAATGTGAATATAATCGAATTATATTCGTATATACTGAATATTAGGGTGGCCGTAGAGTATTTTTTCCAGGGAATTTATTACTGTTTAAAAAATATTTAAATAAAAATATAACCAAAAATACATTAATAAAAAAAATTTAATCCATATATTCTATATTTATTCTATTCAGTATTGAATCCAAAATGGGGTACATCTACTATATGGATCTTTTGGCAACATAAAAATTTCATCACACCAACTATAACCTAGTACACGGTTTTCGATAATATTCTTGAATGCAATGTAGTGAAAATTAAATAACCTCAAAATTGTGTTATATGCTTGAGAAAGCGTAAAAATGGTGCGTGATAGATGGAAATTTTGTTCCAAAAAATTAGAAATACATTAATAAAGTATTTTTTATACTAATAAAAATTAACATTATTTATATCGTTAAAGATTAAAGTTAACAAAATAAGTCAGAAAATGTTAGTTGGTCAGAAAAGTCTATGAAATAATGCCACTACTTGCTACGATTTTATTAATATATAAACAAATATATATTTATTAAATATTATAATAATATTAATTATCGCTTTAAATGCTATGATGATAGCATTATAAATAATTGGTTGCCCTTTGTTCGATTTTATTTAAATGCATTGTTTAATAGCGAAACGCAGAATCATTTATGAGCTTCACATCCGCACTGATAAAATGAATGACACGAGGTACAGTATAACTCGCAAGGTTACACTTAAAAAAAAATTTTTATTTCATTTTATTTTAACCTTAAAATTCCATTTAAATGCTATAAATTAATTCTGGTTTTTTATTCTATAATAACAATTTTAATATATTAGAATAATATTTTAAAATATTAGAAAAAAAAACTTTGAAAGTAATTTGTGAAACTTGCATAATCATACACTCAATGACCAACTGACACAGTTCTATTATATCTATATGTCTGTATCTATAACTAAGTATTAAAAAAGACATTTTTTATATAAATATTGAGGAATAAATATTTAACTTTATAATACACATTAAAATCGAAGGTTAAATGGCAGCTTGATTTTTTTTTTCTTGCTGCCGTCATTTTTTATTGACTAATTTACTGAACCTGTCATGTACATACAAACATATGTATATATTAATGTGTATTTAACATTTAAATGCACAAAATTTATGTCAATTTAGGTATATAAATTTTGTTGTTACTTGAGTATATAATTCGTTAATTCGTTAATTTAAACATTAAAATATTTACTTCTGTTTTAGGTGTAGTTAGTTTAGTTATAAAAAATTTGTTGTTGTTGCTTGGGTAATTCATTAATTTAAACATTGAAATATTTACTTCTGTTTTATTTTTTCTAAACGAAAGGTTAATAAAGACTAGAGTTATAAATCATTTATTTATGCAAATAAGTTACTTACTATATACAGTAACTTATATATTTGTTGTATCTTAACATTTCGAAAAACAGAGAAATGAGTTTTCTAAATTTATTATTTAACCTACCACCTTACGCTTAATAAACTTTCTCCTAATATAGTCATTACATTTATTATTGTTGTTGTTTTTTTTAATGTACAAGTGACACATCAAATATTTTCATTACTTACCTTTTGTTTTGTTTTTTGGTGGATTTCACAGCGGCAACGGCAGCAGCAGCAGCAAGCAGTGTTAGTTTGTCAACAGGAACTTATATGTTATCACGTCAATGACACCACGCACTTGTGTTTCAAATTCCGGTTAATGACGTCGCTGATAATAGTGAGCACAGCACAGCACAGCAAATTCGCGACACACCGATTATTCACTTTCGCTTATAGTCGCTCGCAATCAAACTTTCTGATACATTGATGATTTGCGAAAATGGCACATGTCATCAATGTAGGAGAAGAAATAACAACAGTTTCTATATATGTATGTATATATATATTAGCAGAATTGCATTTAAATATGTTAACTTGTGTATTGTACAATTGTTTTTGAGTACACAGTACACAAGTAGCGTATGAATGTATGAATGAATTTCCGGCAAATATTTGCGCGTACAACAAAACAGCTAAATGTGTATATTTTTGCGGGTTGGTAGTTCGGTTCAGGGGGTTGATAACTTTTTATACAACTTTGAATTGATTGTTTTTGTTGTTGTTATACTTTTATGGTTTTGTGCTTCCTGTACTGTTGGTTTATAAATGAAAATATCTTTATTGTAAATTTCAGTAATTTTGATTGCTTTTTTTTATTACTTTTTGTCAAAAGCAACTTTTAATTTATTATTGATTTTTGTTATAATTTTGATATAATAGTATTTTCTAAATAAAATTTAATTTCACTTTGTTTCGTTACTTTTTTTTGTATTTGCATACACACTACTATTTTGTATAATTTTTTTTTTTTCTTAAAATATTTTACAACTTTCAACGAACGACCGTTATGCACTGTTTAATGTTATATTAAGAAAAATCTCAAAAAAAATTTATCTTATATATAAATAATTTTAAAGTATTTTATTTTTGTAATTTGCACTACTTTTAGCTTTGAAAAATTAAACGAACAAATTTCGAAAGTTTTATTTTAGCGCTGCGCAATCAGTTTCGTTTATTCTGTTTTTTTGCTTATTTCAGTCAGCAGCTGTTGTTATTGTAATTCCAGTTTATAAGTAGGTAAATCCAAATTTTGTTGTTATTTTGTAAGTACGTTGCAAAAGACTCACTGTATTTGTAAGCAACAAATATTGTAGATAATTTACCTCGTATATTAACAAGCAACACTCAAATGAAAATTGTCCGAGCGCACAACACAACCCGCCACTCAGTTCTTGTCTAACTGTGCCAGAATAAAAATTTTCGTTTGTTTTTGATGCATTTTCTGTTCAACTTGTTTGAGTTGGAATCGAACCACGATTTCAATGTACCCAACTTCGACATTTGTTCATTCAAGTGTTTTATGTTTGAACGTAAAAACAAACGTCAAGCCAACGAAAAAAAAAAGGTTGTGGCTTGACGTTTTATCATTTTTCTTTTCAACAATTCTTCTTAAGCGCAAATTTTAAATTGTTTGTATTTTATTAAAAATGTTTATTAGTTTTTAATGTTTTTCAAAGCAATTACAAGTATATAATGAATGAAAAAGAAACTGATTTAATTGATATACAATTTAAACTTCATAATGGATTTAATTCGTTTGAAACGCATTGTGAAATACCTCCTACGGTTGGCGTGCATTTTTTGGCGACCGCAAGTAATTTTGGTTTGATTTTTGCTGGAAATCCATATGCCCCTAAATTAAATATCTTCAAGCATAAAGACATCATTGATGCCAAATACGATAACCTAGCATTGAGAACGCGTGTAGTGGAATTACCAGCTCCTGTTACATATTTGTCTTGTAATGCTGATGGCTCTTTATTGGCCATTAGTTACAATATTAATGGCTGCCCATATCTACAGATCTATTTCACACAGTCGTTCTTCATGCCGAAAGTCACTACGTTCTGTGCCACATGCTTATCAACTGAAGAAAATATCAACGTTACTGAGTTGTTATGGAATCCGGTCCTTCGTAATTACTTGGCAGTCATATTAGATAATGGTGTACTTGGCATGTGTGTACTAACTGACAGCGGTCAATTGAACTCTAAAACTTTGGACAAATCTGTAGAAATACAATGTGGTTCTTGGTCACCAAAAGGAAAGCAAATTGTGTTAGCATGCGCAAACGGCATGCTACAACAATATACACCTGACTTGACTCCAGCTCGTTTAGTAAATATACCGGCAGAAGTGCTGAACGGCCCATTTGATTGTTTAAGCATCTGTTGGCTATCCACATATCAATTTGCTGTTGTGTTACTGCAGCGGGGCGAAAATAGTTGCCCACACATTGTTATAGTGAATGCATTTAAAGCAGATAATATTACTTATAAAGATTACTATGATGTATGCTATAGCAGTGACGGTCCCCGCAAGCATAGGTTTATGCTAACGCATTTGATAAGTTGGAATTTTTTATTAGTGCTCTCAGCAAATGGATTAGAAGTTGGCATTTTGGGTTCGGAAAATAATGATAAAATACCCAAATGGATACCATATATTTGTGACGATCAAGCGCGTATTGCGTTTCCATTAAATAAAGACAAAAGTGATCAATTCTCAATTGGACTCTCCGTTGATACCGCTAGTACACATAGATTAATGATTAATGAATCTGAATTAAATCCTATGCCTATGATTCACGTTTTAACTACACATGGACTACTTCAATCGTTCAATTTTCTAAATCTGTTTCCAAATGCTGTTAGATTGTGCTCCCCACCGGTGCAACATACTGATATGTCAGAAATGTTCTCTCTTATTGAAGTCGAAGATTATTGTAACCAATCTGTTAAAGAAGAAAAAGGAACAAATTTTTCACCAGAAAAATCGGGAACAACTGAATTTTCATTATCATTTGCTAACACATCACAAATGTCACTCTATGAAACATTCAGTTTTAATAACACCGAGACAAGTTCAAAGGCAAGTCCTATACCAGAACTGGTTACTTTTAATAACAGAAACAATCAATTATTTTCAAACGTGGAATCGTTATCAGGACCAAGTTCAATTCAAAATAAAAATTTAGTAATAACTTCTCCAGATACTAGCGTTAATAATCGAAAAGCGTTATTTGCCACTTCACCAACTGTTACTAATGAACATTTACGTCAAAGGACTGATGATAAAACTAAACTTTTTCAAGATTATGAACTAATGAGCGGACATGTCTTTTATTTGGATATATTAGATTTCGATAGAACATTGCAGACATTGCTTGTAAAACAACGAAATAATACTGTAGTGCTTGGACACCCTGAAGAGTACAGAAATAATACTTTAACTCTGTTGGAATTAGAAAAAACATTTGATCAAGCCGGCCCTAAGGATTTTCAAAGAGATATACATCATTTACGACATGAAATGGTTAATTTATACGCCATGTTAGAACATATTAAAACTAATATGACATTATCGAAGAATTCACATTTGAAAAATAAACTCTCTCTGCCCGGTTTTGATAAATATAATGGTCGTTCACTTATGAAATCTTATGAACTTATAAGGAACAATAAATTCTTATTAAAAACAGTGGAATTAGAATTGGAAATGCAGCGTGTTATACACTACGATATACTACGGAAGATAATGCCTTTCGCACCGCGCTTAGATCCAATTGGTAGAGTACTGAAGGAATTAAAGTTATTTTCAAATCAAAATCTCGAAAAATTAAAATATTTGAAGTCTAATTTTCGTTGTCTTGGCATAACGCAAAATAAAACTCGTTTTACTAAAAGAATATCTCTTATTAAACCACAAGAAATAGTGGAACAAAAAGTAATCACACCAGAAATCCTTGCTAAACATATATTTTCTGAGGAAGTCAAATTTTCTCCATCCAACCATACACTACATATTAATCCAAAACATAAAAGAATAGCATTGTGTTTGGCATTAAAAAGAAAAGTTACAGCTGCGAAAAAAATTTTTCCAAAACGTTTAAGTCGTTTGGATATTGATTCCCTTCCTATACTAGAGGCGAACATTAGTCAGATGTCAATAAGTGATGATACATCAACAAATCATGATATAACTCAAATAAATATTGTGAAACCTATACAAGCCAATTCAATAGAGCTACAAAACGTTTTTGGCTCATTAGACCAAGCATCTCCAAGTACTTTTAATGTTAATGAAACCAATTGAACCACCCTCTTTACCATCTTTAAAAATCTATCTTTATTATAACAACAGTGCAATTAAAGGAACTAAAAGTCTCTAAATTAATTTTTTTATTAGTAAAATTAAATATATTATATATATACAATTATGTAATATGAAACAATATAGGTATAGTGTTTTCCACATATTTTTAATACTCCTAAGAAAATAAGTGTAACAACACATTAATTGAATTTATATTTTTAATAGTGTTATTGATGAATAAAAAGGATATAAAAAATAAATTTTTTTAAGTTTTTGTTTAAAACCTAGTAGCTAGGTGACCGTAAAAATCCAATAACTGAAATCGCATTTCAGTAATCACGGGTAGTTATTATCCGTAATATTATACTGATATTATATTAAACAAGTTAAATTATTCTAACGCATAAACAAAATATAACATTATATTATAGCTGGTGAAGGTTGTGAGTTACTAAAACTCTATGATATATAACTAATTACTTTGGATTACTTTGGATATAACTAATTACTTAGTATGGCGGTTAGGATTTTGAGGTTTAGTGAATATTTGCAGCAGTGCTGGTTCTAATCGGTTAGAATCAGTTTAGAATTATGGTTCTAAATCAGTTCTCACCATTAAGCCATAAATCGGTTGATAACACAATACAGTTAAGTGGGAAAGTTACAAAGAAAATCTTTGTAAGTCAAGTCCTCGATGTATACAAATTCAATATTTAAACTAATATCCAAAGCAGACTAGACACGTTTCGACATTTTGTTTCAAAGATTGAACTAAAGATTGGATAAACAACGGTGATCACAGAAACAAAAATTTTTTGTTTACAATATATGATTAGTTTCAGTTAAGTTGGAGTAGCAGCCACGTATACAATACAAATAATGATATATTGTGATACTACGGGTTGGTTTACATGACTTTTTAATAAATTTTTTTAAAAAGATTTGTTCACAAAAATACAAACTTTACTCAAGATAAACTTGGGACTTTATCATGACAAATTTTCATTAATTTATACATTATTTATTATTAATTAATTTATTAAATGATGTAATTTTGTTTTTATTGTTTAGTTGTGGTTTAATATTAGTAATTCTCCTGATGAAGGCAAAAGCGAATTTGTTGAAATACGTATAGGAATATGCTAAAAATTAACGCTCAAAATAAAAGTTAATATTCTTAAAAAAAAAAACAAAACCGATTTCATATTAAATGATGTTATATTTTGTAACTCTAAAGTGATAGACTATCTTAAAAGGAGGCGTTAAATGAAATTAACTTAAGTATATAATAATATATATAAAAAAATTAGATATTTTTATTGATATTATAAATGAAGTAAATTTTTGGCTTTTATTGAGATAATTTATCTTCTTATAATTCTTCTTTAGTTTAATTATATATTACTACATTACTGTAATTCTTCTTTACTTTAATTGCATAACACTATATGTACTGCATATCGAACTAGAAGCAAATGATTTGATTTTAATATATTATTTCTATT